TAGCGCTACCGAACGTGTACAATGGCATTAAGAATTTTTACACTCATTAAGAATACTCTAAGAGACTATTGCTCATTTAGTTTTATCCCACATCTTTTACATATTCTAGCAGGACGCCGTTTAACATTTGCATTTTCCATCTTTTGCTGAAGAAGGCAACAGTAGTGGCCGAAACGTCCGATAACCATATTTTTAGCCAGTGACAACCATTTAATTTCTTTTTTACCAATTTTTAACGTCAAAATGGTCTTGAAGCAGAGAGTGACGAGTTGCTCCGGTTCTTGCATCAAGAATGTGTATTCCGAGGCCTTCCCGAAGGCACTTCCAGGTCACAACAAAGTTGTCGTCTGGTGAGAAAATCAAGTGTGGGTCTACACAAGCTCTGTCGAACCACACCGTGCTCCTTCTCCACGCAAGTAAGTTGTTGTTCCATAAAATCACTGTCAGCATCTCCTCATCCCAAAATTGACGATCGGTATGTGTTTCTTTATAAGTGCAAACTAAGACTTAGTGCTGACTGTTGCATGCAACTGACAGTGTGTATTCATCACCAGGACACATGGTCGTTATGGAAGAAACCATCGCTTCATTGGCAACATCTAAGATGTCAACAACAACAGGAATGGAGCCAACATCACTGGAGGCAGTTGTGTTCGATGACAAATCACTCTCTCTTCTTCCATAAGAAAGAGAATCGGGAAATGCGATTGACGAAAGGGAGAAATCACCAAGTTCCAAAGTCGTATCAAACGAAAATCCGAATAACTGGTCCAAGCATAGTAGGCCGTCGCTTTTCCCACGGCAGCCTACAAGCTCATTTGAGATAGGAATGAGTTCTTCATCGCCCGTTAATTTGGCAAGAGGAAGAATACACTCCGACAACTCAAAATTCCACAGTTCTGGTACGTTTTGATCCTCAGAGAGTAGAACACCTTCCTTCATGGGAATCAAAGACACCAAGCCAGGGAAGAACCTTTTCATCAGGCGTTCACCACTTGAAATTCTCGAGACAATCACAGTTACCTCACTGGCACCGGGTTCCGCTAAACTAATTGCATAAATGGTGTCTCCTTCAGGTGAAAATATAACGTTCATGATCCTTTCGCCAGCGGAGGGCGAATTCATTTTACTTAGCCGGTCAGCATTCACAGCCGCAACGTACGTGAAAGCTGGGCTACCAATCAATGCCGTGTCGTTGTCAGGTTCAGAGTAGAATCCTTCCAATAAGAATGGAAAAACGCCGCGCAAATTGTTCACCCAGCAAGAACTGGCAGACTGATCCACCAAATCATCTCCTGAAGTTGGTCCCAAAGGCCACAGGACGAAGTCTCCCGACGTAAGTGTCACCTCAGAGCAGCCTGACGTAGTCGACTGACGAAGTTCATTTATGGATGTCAAAAGGGTATACCTTGGTCTTCTAGTAAACACCAAATACCAGTCACAGTCAACTTTCTCAGAGTTTGAATATAGGAGACCACAAGCAAGAGTGTTATTCTCACTTGTAAAGTGCATCAATCCACACACAGCAGAATCTGGGTACTTAAGCAAACCCACACGACAATCTTGCTCCGGATCAACAAGATATACATAACCAGAACAGTCAGAAATGGCGATGAGTGTTCCATCTCGGGAAATGGTGAATGCCGCAATGTTCTCCTCCCACTTGATGCGATTAAGTTCTTCGCCATTTTCCATACTCCACAGAACTATCTGCTTTGGTCTTTCTGGACAATCTGTCAAAAGTTTCTTCTTCTCTCTTGAAAAGATGCAGTTGGAGAACGTGCAGTTGCTCCTGGGGAAGAGGTCTTTCCAGTCTCCGCTAAGGGTGTAAACATTTCTGAGCGTACCTGGTAAGACATATCTTCCATTTGGATGAAAAACGACAGAACGATAAAAAGACAGACACTTCTCTATTTGACGATACGCATCTCCAACAGCTTTACCATGGTGAAACTCCCTCATCATCAACGAGAATCGAATCCATACCAGATTGCCAATCTCAAGAGACCACAAATGAATCGTTCCACCGCGGCATTCGCAGACCATATAGTCCTTCTCCGGTGAAACATCAAAACACGCCACCGTATCTGAACAGTAAAATCGGGCTTGAACTGCTTCATTCTGTTCTTCTTTTTCCAAGTATTTCACGTATGGCACATTGGGAAGCTCGTTTTCGAGGATGGTTGTTGCTCTAGGAGATTGCTCAGGACATCCTTCATTCAGCAAACATTGAAAAAAAAGATGGGGATGGTCTCTTAGGATGTAAGAGTGCTTCCGCAGCAAAACTAACAAAGAGGTTAAAATAGAATGACTCTCCTCACTCAGTGACAACGGATCAACGTGCCTCAGGACACCGAGGAGATCATCTGAGGAAGCCGTGCTGTTCACACAGAGTTTGGCATATATCAGCTCTAGATCCCTGACGTAATTGTTTATCAGCTCTTCTATGTTCCAGGGCCTGGATTTGCTCCCCAAGTCTTATATCTCAATCATGTGTTGAACACCATGTTGTAAAGCGGACTTTTCAGTGTCAGTAAAATGTAAATCGTACACGCCATCTCGCTTGATGTTGTCAATGCCATTCGTGCAAAGGCCGAAAAGAATTTCATGACCTTCCTTCTCGTCACAGTGAAATCATGGTAACCATAGCATTCCGTGTTCGTCAACCAGTCCTTCACCGACTTGTGGAAGAAGTACAGACGACCATCGCGAACTGGTAGAAGTGAAGAGATGCAGGCGATTGCTTTGTTTACTCTTCGCTGAGCAGTTAAGGACCTTCCCCTTGTGACCAACATTCTGTAAATAAACACCACTGGAAGTGGTTCTCTGGAAGCGGTAAGGGCACATAAGAAACGCAACACCTGCTCTTCGTCGATCTTTAACTCTTTGCAACGTTCTTTCTCTAACCTTTTGAAATGGGAGAGGTAAACTGATGAAATACCCAACGGTAAGCTGCTCTCCAACTGCTTTGGGTTGAGAAGAGAAACATTCTTTATGATGAAATCGATCAGGAAATAAGCATAAAGAAAGACGCCTTCGTATGTTTCAAGAAGTTTCCTCAAGAGAACATCTTTGTACCCTTCTTCAATTTCATGATTCAGTTGTATTTCAAAGAATATCTGAATATCTCTTAAGTTCTCTTCCTGATTTTCTTGAAACTCAGTGGGTTGCAAATGTTTCAGGCTGTATGCAATGTTTATTTCCGTTCGGGTTGTCACAAAAAATCGAATCCACTGTGGAAGTTTGCAAAACTGATTGGCAATCACATCGAGCAGCTCATTTCGTCCTTGATATTTGCTTTCGTCTAGGCCGTCTATGACCATGAGGATGTTTCTTCCTGGGTCGCCCACCCTGCTGATTGGTTCCTTAAAAAGCAACGCAAATAGCTCCTCCACGCCCATGCTGTTGAATTCCACTCCCAGATTTCTTGATAGCTGTTCCACAAGAGCATTCTTGTACTCTGGTAAAGCGTACGTCAAATAACAGGCCAAGGTCTGAAGCATCAACTGAGGTTTCCTGTAGCGCGCATTGTTATGCCGACAAAAGTGGTTCCCTGACAGTCTTCCGGCTTCTTGCATTCTTTGGGAAATCACTGCAGAGATAACAGATTTTCCTGTGCCCGCATTGCCACTGACAACCATCACCCTGTTTAGGGACGTTCTGTCATCTAGCCAGTCCTCGACTCTTTTAAAGATCCACTCACGGGTTCCCTTCTGGAATCTTTGTGCATGGTATTCAATGTCCCCTTTGAACTCGGACATAGTTTCCTAAGTAAATCATCTGTCCTATCCATCTCTCTTTTTCTCTTTAAGTCTTCAACCTCTTGTTTGACTTCTTTGAGACCTGCTTGAAGAGTCTCGTGCACTTCTTCAACAGCTTGATGAGTTCTGATTTTTGTCTGGCATGCACCTTCTAATTTGGAAATGCTGTCCTGAAGTGTTTTGTGGTCTTCTAGTCGAGTCTGACGTACTTCCTTGGTAGCTTGATGCGTTTCGTTTTCAATCCAATAAACGTCCTCCAGCTTAGGAAAGTTACCTCCAAGAGTTTTGCGACCTTCTAGTTGATGCTGAAGGACTTTCGCAATATCTTGTCGTGTCTCAGTCTGAAACTGACGCAGTTGCTTCAGCTGTGATTTGAATTCTTGTTCACTATCAGCCTATTCTAGTAGCACGTCAAGATAATCTTTCTCTCCAAAGCTCTCTGCCTTTAATCCATCTATTTCTGCCTGATCCAGCCCAAGAGCAAGAAGAACAGCACTAATTTCCTGCCACGGAGCATGGAACGTTGGTGTATCAACACCAGTGGTAGACACATGACCATACAACTCGTTGCGGAACAACTTAATGCGTGCGA